ACACATACTGCCCCCCCATACACACATACTGCCCCATACACATACTGCCCCCATACACATACTGCCCCTCCATACACACATACTGCCCCCCATACACACACACTGACCCCATACACCCCCATACACACACACTGCCCCCATACACTGCCGCCCCATACACACACATTGCCCACATTTACACACACATACTGTCTCACACATACACTGCATCCCTGACATACACTGCCCCCCCTACTCACACACTACAACCTTCACACTGCTCACACACTGTCCCCCTCACACACACACACACTGCACCCCTTACACATTGCACCACTCACACACACCACTGCTCCTATGCCCTACTACCGCCCCATTTCCCAGCAGACCTCAGGTAAGTTGTCAAACTGTTCTTAAATGGTTTGACTACTTACTCTAGGAGGGGGTCCCGGCACTATTGACACCATAACCACTACACTGAGCTGTAGTAGTTATTGTGTCTGGATTATTTCTTTAAATAATCTACAAGTGCCCCTCCCGAGATCAGGCTCTGGATCCGCCACTGGTTCGAGCCCTGTCACATCGGCAGTGGTGGGAGTGAATACAGGTTACATCCTTATCAGAGAGCTGTGCAGGGAGAGAGAGGAGGAAGCAGAGAGGATGGAGAAAGCTTGGACCAGCCTCAGATTCATGTCAGACTCAGTCAGATCTCAATGTACCACTGTATATGCAAATAATTAAAATAAATAGACTTCAGTGTGAAATGGACTTTATTAATTTCATGTTTTTATTAATTTCATGTTTTTAGACAAATAACTTCAACAGATCAAAATCAGGTCAATATGAAAGATGTCCATTTTTGCTGACTTCATGGATAAGGAAAACTATCTTCAGCACATTCCATTATGGGCGATTCGTACATGGGCATTGAGTTTCCTGCAAATAAAAATATAATATTACTACACATAGCTGCCATTTCAGCATACATGTTTATTAACCAACAAAAAGTGAAAGTATATCTGAAAATATAATGCCTGTATGTTGTGTTAAGATATTTTAAGACAAGTGTCAGGATATTCATACTTTTATGGTAGATTCCCCTTTAAATTTCAGACCATCAGATCACTGTCAATTAGTGGGCTTCTTCTAACAGCTGATTGTCTTGTAAGTCTGTACGCCTAACTCTGCTTCCTTCCAGTCTATGCTGCCTGAAAACCCCTAAAACCTTCTTTGGGCACATGTTATTTCATGGTATAGATAAAGATCATTGATAAACTATTTGTTCATCCATCCTAGGCTTTTACAGGAAAGGATTTCTTTTGATCTGTGAGGTGTCAAAGCACAAGGTCATTAAAATATTAAAGTTATATTAATTTATACTTACTTATTTTTTACACAGAGCTCACATTCACTTGGATACATAACTCCATCGGTTCCACATACTGGAGAAAAGATTAGTGGGCATATATTATGTCCTGGACACTTTGGCTAGAAAAAAACATAGCATTAAAATACTGTCTAATGTTCACAAAATAAGTATTTTTCAGTAATTTAATTAAAACTCCTGTTCTTTGCAAAAGAGAAAGAGAATAAATATATTTTAACACTATTATATGTCAGATATTACTATGTATTCTATTCATCTTGGGTATGGGTTTATTTCTTATCTTATGAGCAGAATCTTGGGTTACTGTTGTGGCTTCCACTATCTGAGTGAGTGTCTTCCTGTCAGTCTGTCCTCTTATGTAATTCAATGTATGTCTGTTTGTCTCAATATTATGTGATATTACTGTATAGTAGATGGAGCGTGTCAGGGAATTTTTCTTTTTCTCAGTAAGGTGGTAGTTTGGGAAGTGTTTCCTCTTTGGGCAATGTTGCATTTATGGTCATGATGTGATTTTTGGGCATTGTGGCAACATGCAAATCAATATATCAGAAACAATCTAACACTATGAAAACAAGCAAAAAAAAATTATATGTGGTTGTGCAATAACACAGAGGATAATATTTATGGAGGTAATATAATATAACATGTGACAAAATGTAGGGCAATGCAATTATACAGGAAATTTGCCAGTATAGGGACTTTACTCAGTATATATGTATAAACACACACATGTAGTTACCTCTCTTACACCAGCATGTACACATCCTGTAATTAGAAAGGAAATAAAAGTTTATATCAGTAAAGTGTTAAACGTAGTAGATCTTAGTATAGTATAATCTGTAAATAGTGAGTTTAAAGGACAAAGCAGCCAAACCCCCAAAAAAGAAAATTCAAATATGTTATGTGGGATTTTTTTTTTTTTTTTTTTTAATAATTCTTGTTTCAAAAGGTTATTTTGAAATCTCTCTGGATCACTAATATTTTAATATCACTAATATTTATAATTCTATATCGTTTTATATATATACCCCTACCCGTTCCACAGGGGCGTAACTAGAAACTGCTGGTACAAGAATTAAAGAAGTGTTCTTTGTCACTCCTTCTAATTCCCCATTTTTTGCTCTTCCTTGCGTCCCCTTGTTGCTCCTCCTCACTTTCCCCTAAGCAATACACCTGAGTGGTATGTGTTGTGGCTGTGTGTGACTGTGCAATAGTTGACTGAGTGTAATATGTAGGTGTGTAGTTTTAAGAGTGTGATAGTGTGGGGCTGATTGAGTGTGATTGTGTGTGCAATTGTCTGAGACAGGCATACAGGAAGTGAGAGACAAAAAAGGACATCCAGAGAGGGAAGAAGAGAGACAGATAAGTTGGTATATGATCTAATGCTCCATATTATGTACACAACTCTGAGAAACTAAATCTCCACATCTTCATGAATAGCCTAGGTGGAGTGCTGGTAAAGAAAGACCTATAGCACTTATCAGCCTGTTATTACTAGGGAAATACAAGTGCCTATTTAACTATACATTTGTAATCAATGCATATGGCATTGTGCTCATTTGTACATAAGCAGTTTATATTTTTCTCACATTTTGAGAATGCACATTCCCAAACATACCAGCACCTTACCAAATAAAAAAAAAAACTATGAGCACTGTTCAGCTATTTGTATTAATATGCCCACTGAAACGTTACAAAATATTTTTTTTCCTTTTGCACTATTGCTCTTTATACTATGTTTTATGAGTTGCACAGGATAATAAATGCCATATTATTGCTCATACTTTGTATCCCCATGATTTCTGACGATTCTGAATGCATAAATAGTTAGAATAAAAATAAATAAATAAAGGTTGAATATGTACCTGATTTTAATTTTAAAATTGCATTTTTTGTTCCCTACATTACAAGCAACTTTTATTTTGGAAGCCTATAAGAGTTCAAATCCTGAAAACAGAGAATGACTTTACAACTAATCCGTGGTACTAGTTTGACTTGTGCAAATTACTGGCTTATTCACTAAAATGAGGTAGAATTAAAAAAAAATATCTCTCTCTCTCTCTCTCATTTCATGTTATATTAGGGTATAATGAACCCAGAGCTCTAACCTTCCACTCACGTACTAACCAGTGGAGAGTGTGAGTTCAGCCCTGTTAGTTCTGCCACTAAAGTGATACCAAGTCATGTTAGTCTTGAATGATGCACTTTAATATACTTGGAATAGGAGGTTTTAAAAAAAAAATAAAAAAAATTTAAGATTATATTTCAAAGTTTTGTGCCAGGGAGAGTTTCCCTTTACCAAAATCTATGCCTGTAGGCAGATACTGCCCCATATGTCTTCCTGTACAGAAAAGTGCCAAAGCTGCTATAGTAAATCAATAAATAAAATAGTTTGTTTGTTTAGTGGTGTCACTTTATAATTTTCCACAAGGGGGATGGGATGTATTAACAAGCAGAAAGAAAATACAGACAAATTGCATGGAGATGCAGATTATCAAACAGAAAGATAGACTTAACTAGTGACTATCTAAATATAATAATTTGATTTCCGACATTTTCAAATCTAGAGCCTTTCTCATTTCTCAAGTATATAAAAATAACATGTGCACAACATTTGGGAACTGTTTAGCATGCATTTAAACTTTACATGTATCCATTTTTGTACAACGGTTTTAAAAATGTCATATTACTCAAATTTAGATTTTTACCTTAAAGGGTTTTAAATAATTTTAGTATTTAGTAAACATCGACCATCAATATAATACTTTTCCTATGAAAACACTACAGTGAGTAAAGCAGATTGAAAAAAAGCTGGATAGATGGTGAGATTAGAAAGTAGAAGCTTTATGGATAGCAGTAGATTTTACCCTATATTAGTAAAAATAGGAATAAATATATTTCTACAGCCTACCAGATAATCCCTAATAAATTTTGGTTCACAGGAAGAACAAACAAAAAAAGATAGAGTAAAACTCCTATACCTCGGGATATAAGATTCCTACACACTAATTGAACCGAACGTAAACAGAATTGTATAAGTCTTTAGGGCTAGGAAACCTAAACCCTGCTTAGTCGTATTATGAATAGAGGAATTGGCTCTGCTGCCTCACCGACCAACCAGTTTACTAATAATGCCACTGCATAATCCTAGTCTGATTCTAAGATAAACTAGGTAAAACGTGAATAGCCTGATTCCCTCGTGCACCCAAAAATAAGAAGATCCCATTGTTGAAAAACAAAAGCGAAAAGTATTAAGCGTTTTATTTTGTTTTTGTTTTTCAATAATGGGCTGTTCTTATTCTTGAGTGCACGAGGGAATCAGGCTATTCACTATCTTATCCATATTATGTAAATATTTTTTCATTTGTATGTTTAGAATCTATGGTCCATTTATTTCAATATACGCAATCCATTTAGTGTAGGATCATGAGTATCAAGGTGAAATGACTTTGGACAAACCATTGTTATAGCATAATACATCATACATAGATGAATGGAACTTGCTTTCTTAAAGGTAATTGCAAAAAAAGTTAATAAAACATATTGAAATAAGGAATTTACATTAAAAATAAATAATTATTTCATAACCAAATTGCATTAGATTAAATTGCCAAGTTAGGTAACACCTCAAGGGATCTCGATATAATTTTCAGTTTGACTAATCTGGTGTAAATTATGCATTATGTGGATCAAAAAGAACAAAGCAGCACTTTCTTCCATTAATAGACCCCCATGAATATACTTTAACATTTACCTCCACATTAATAAACTGGGTGAAGTTAGTATATTTCTATTTGCTACAATGTAATTCAGAGCTCTTGTCCCCAAGTATCATAATATTAGGTGTCATTTTGTTGGTATATCTAGCATATAAAAGAACCTTTTACTCACCTGAAAGCAGGACAGCAGCCAGCAAAGTTAAGTAGATAGCCTTCATGATTTTTCTATATCTTCACTTACTCAGACTTGCTGTAGTAATTGTATGGATTCTAAAACAACTGGAAGGCAGCCTGTATATATACTGAACTGGCCACACCCATAGCATATCTAAATGGAAATTATCCCAGAGGCAATTGTCCAAGTTCTGAACAAAAAACAGGGCTGGTGCATGTATTTGTGACTACAAAGGCGTAGATGCATTTTGCTGTCCCCATTCTCCCCAAAAAAATGCATCTGCACATGTGTCCCTTAACCCCCCTCTTCAATTGCTTACCCCCTTTTGTGTTTCTAATTCCCTCTTTTGAAAGTCTTTTCCCATTTAGTGTATCTTATGCCCATTTTGTCTCACAATCTTATCCCCCATTTTTCCCTTTGTATGTCTTTTAGCCCCTTAAGGACCAAACTTCTGGAATAAAATGGAATCATGACTCTTAAGGGGTTAAACCCCTCCATGTGTGTCTTACTTTCTTCCAGTCCCTTATTTATAAATGAACCATAGTTTAATAGAAATAAAATCTAAAGAAGTGTAAGAAATTAGGACATTTTACTTTTTTATTGGTACAGTATTGCATTATTTTTAATGTGAATATCATAATTCTTAAAAGTGTTAATACAATAAATCACATATTTGTAGAACAATGCCACCACGTACAGTTTTTCTGTGGTGTTTGAATGTTACGGGGCCAAATATAGGGTTTTTCTATCTCAGTTTTATTACATTTAAATGTGATAAATTACCCTTTTGTGTAATACAAAAGGCGTAGTTTGAATTGTTTTGTGTAGCCACAACATGTATCATGAGTAGCTAGTATAACAAGCTAAAAGGTCTTGATTTTTTATTTATGGATACTCGTTTCAAATGGCTTAATATTTTTGGGATAAACTTTTTTTTCAAACGATTAAAACATCAAAATACATCATATATAAAAACATGTAAATTATTAAATTATTTTTTGAAATATGAAATCAATTTAAAGGTTTATCCAGAAATATTATTTGGAAAGCTTACCTAAAATATACAATTGAGGCCATAAAAGATGGTAAAGAGTAATTAGGACAAGCTGAAGTCAGGAATCCTGAATAGCCAGCAAATCAAGTTACTTACAGAGTTTAGCTCTGTATGGTAGACTCTGGAATAGTCTGTAACAGAAACTAGGAAGAGATCAACAGAAAGGGAAATAGCGGCTAAAGACATTCCGAACTTCTTTATTATAATAGAATCTGCCCTTTTTCTAGGTGATGTTTGCAGGCTGTGGGGAGGGGTCCTACAAGGATAGTGCTTGCTGTAAAGTCTCTTGACATCCTCTGATTCAAATGTCTGAGTATTAGAGAGCTGTTTTAAAAAAAATATCCGATAAAATCTTAAGTGTAAATTCAAGAAAAGTCTACGGCTTCTCTATGCCTGCTTTTTTGCCATTGTGTTAATATATGGCAACCTTTTTGTACCAGGTTTTGGTCTTTCAGTAAACCAGACATGGATGTATAGACTTACTAATCAAATCTACTCTACCCTGTATATATCAGATATACTGAACAAAGCACTTTAAATTTGCATTTGTGCATCCTTTCTCTCAAAGGGCACTTTCATTATGCATTGTGGACAGCATGTACATATCTTTTTTCTCAGTGTACCAAAGGGCCAGCACTTCACTATGGAAATATGATGATGTGTTGCCTGTATAGTTTTTGCCTTTTGTCAGCTTCTTGGGGTTTGAGGGTTTTGCATTTTGTTTTCGGTCATTGCCATACATGTTAGCTACCAAAGACAAATACATTTTAAAACAAAATGTTGTTTATATAATAACTGTCAATCTATATATGGTAGCCTTTGTTCAGAAAGGGTAGGACTAGACACAGTCTTGCCTTTTGTGCACACAGAATAAGGGCTGTCTGGTTGCAAAATATCCAGGTATAACCTGTAGTGCATTGAAACAATTGATAAAATTCCAGTCATGAATGTTTAGGTGGAATATATTGCTTAAAAAGCAATCTTACTGTAAATCTCTTTAGATTCAGCTACACAGATGTTCTGGTCAGTGGCGTAATTTTCTAAAAACATTTCAGCCCCTGGCTTTATCAGGGGCTGTACTCTTGTATAACCTGTCATACAAGGTCATTTCTATGGGGGCACTATCATTCGTTGTAAAATGCACCACAGCTGTTCATACCAATCCCTCTTAATTATTCTTGGAAAAAGAGGTGCAGACAGGATGGGTTGGTTGAATCAGTAAGAACATATGCTGTTTTTGAACTAAAATGCTGATTGTAGCACCATAACTAGAATCTGATTAGATGGCTCTATATCAGAGGCTGAGAGTCAACTTAAGATATAGCAAAGGTATCACTGTTTGAATCACGCATGATAATGTATAAGCCTCTTTTGTGGAATAATATCATGCTTTGATGCTTATTAACCCCTTAGTGACCAGACCGCTTTTGAATTTTCTTACCATTTGGAACCAGGGTTGTTTTTACATTTCTGTGGTGTAATTTAGCTGTAATTTTCCTCTTACTTGTTTATTGTACCCACACATATTATATATCGTTTTTCTCACCATTAAATTGTCTTTTTAAAGATACCATTATTTTCATCATATCATGTTATTTACGATAAAAAAACAAACCATAAAATATATTGAGAAAATGTAAAAAAAATAATTTTTCTAAATTTGACAACACAAAATCTGTTACACATCTACAACCGCCAAAATGATAAATAGTTTCTAAATGTTGTCCTGAGTTTAGAAATATTAGTTTTTTTGTGCAAGTTATAGGGCAATAAGTACAAGTAGCACTTTGCTATTTCCAAACCATTTTTTTCAAAATTAATGCAAGTTACATTGTAACACTGATATCTCTCAGGAATCCCTGAATGATCCTTCACATGTATATATTTTCTTAAAGAAGACAACCTAAAGTATTAAACTTTGGGTATTTTGACATGCTCTTTTCATGCAAACATTTTACCACCAATCAACCTTAAATTTAAAAAAAATAATAATTGGTGATTTTTTTGACACACATAGCAATTTAAGAATACATGTACTGAGAACTTTAAGGGTTACTGCCAAAGAACACCCCAATATGTGTTCAGAAATATCTCCCAAGTACAGTGATGCCACACATGTATAGGTGTGTCGGCTTCTCTGGGGGCTAAAAGACCTTACTTGGAGGGTGCGCATTCCATTTTTCCAACTTGGAATTTTCCAACTTGGAATAGTGCCAGACTTCTCTATATTTTGCAATTGTAGTAGACACCGTATGGTACATTTCCAAATGGTGGTATTTTAACATTTTCAATGCACTAATTCTACCACTGTTCTTTGTCAAACTTTTGGGCAGTGGCAGGATTATAGTTGAGCCAGCACGCAGAATAGTATCACACCTAGGACTATGGATAATTTCTAACTGGACCTTAGAATGTCCGGACTTAATGTACCAGAGAATAGTCAAAATACCCGCTGAGGTCAGGGATACAGAATGAGACACAGTGATGATGAAATGTATTCATTTAACCTCCCTGGTAGTTCTTTGGCTGCAATTTCATCAAGGACTTCAAATAATCCCTCTGCAAATGCAGTGATTAATCTGTTATTAGTCCTGTCAACCTCAGAAGCCAGTGTGCGGAATTCTATGGCATAATCTGAGACAGAACTGTTCCCTTGTTTGATAGGGCACTGGAAGCATTGTTTTCCCTTCCCAATGGTTCAAACGTTGATTTGAATTCCGCAAGGAATTCTTGGTAATTATGGGCAATAGTCGTATCACTTTCCCATAATGGATTGGCCTAAGCTAAGGCTTTACCTTTCAGTTGGTTTATTAAGTACCCAATTTTAGCTCTGTCCATGGGGAAGGACCCAGGAGAGGCTTCAAAATGGTACTCATTCTGATTAAGAAATCCCCAACATTCTTGAGTATTACCTTCAAAATGCAGGGGTTGAAGATAGGGAGATAGTAGGTGCCTTGTACACTATAGGTGTAGGTACAGTAAGCGGGGGTGTAACTGCCGGAGGAACTTCAGGCTGCAAATGAGCCTTACATATTAGGAGCGTATTTAATGCCTGGGCAAATTGATCCATACGATGATCATTTTCATCTAGCTTTTTCTCGCAAGCTGCTATGTGCTGACACAAATTTGCAGGAACTATGGTCATGACGTAATGTCAGGATTATAGTTGATCCAGCAGGCAGAATAGTATCATACCTAGGACTAAGGATAATGTCTAACCGGACCTTAGAATGGCCAGACTTAATGTACCAGAGAATAGTCAAAATACTCGCCGAGGTCAGGGACACAGAATGAGAGACAACGATAAGGAAAGCCAGAAGTCAAGGATAGTAGAAATCAAGGAAGTCGAATGAAAGCCAAAGTCAATACCAGATCTAGAGGATGGGTATTAGGCCCAGTTCTCATCCTGTGCCCTGTCGTGGTTTCCCTTCTGGTTGTCCAAAAGTGCGTTATTTATTATGGTATTTCTGGTTATTTGACTTTGGCATTGTTTTTGACTACCCTGTTTTCTGGTATCCCTAACTCCTGGCTTTTCCTTATGGTTGTGTCTCTTTCTGTAACCCTTGACCTTGGCTATTCCTGACTATTTTTTGGTACGTTAGTCCGGCCATTCTAAGGTCCGGTATATGTTACCTATCAGTCCTTGTGTTACCCAATTCTACGTGCTGAATCATACTGTAATCCTGACAGGAACACACTCTCAGATAACCAGCTAGTGGAAACCACGACAGGCACTGACAAAAAGGTAATTTGGGTTTAAATAACCCTCTTTAGGCAGTAATTGGCTATCTCTAACCACTGACCCCAAAACGTGCGTGCCCATCTATAACGTGACGTCGCACGCACGTTGGCGCCATCTTTGATGTGGGCGAAGTTATAAAATCCCGAACCGCAGTGGCCGGAGTTCTTAGGAACGTCGAACCTGCTGGGGATCGCAACGAAGGGAGATCGGGCAGCGTCCTGCCAAGGTAAATATAAAATATCTGTCAGCTTAGTTTAAGTGCAGCCACGCCGGCATCGGGACCCGTGACAGTAATTTTTTGTGTTATTTTTCTCTCACATTGTACTTTATGCATGGATTCTCAGTTCCTGTTACAGATAAAGAATATCCCAATTTGTGTTCAGCAACATCTCCTGAGTATAACAGTGCCCCCAAAGTACAGGTTTTATGGGTTTTTGCAAACTTACAGGGGTCAAATGTAGGGCTTTCCCCCTTTTCCATGTTTGCACATTAAAAATTTGCCAGATTGGTTTGCTGGGCCTATGTTGCCTATGTGACCATATAGCAGCCCAGGAATGAAAATGAATCCCATCATGGCATACCAATTGTGAAAGTAGACAACCCACAGTAGTGCATATAGGGTATGTCCAGTCCTTTTTAGTAGCCACATTTTTCACACACAAACTTTCATTTCACCAATGATATCAGTGTAATACATTTTACTGTTTTAAAACATTCATATTCGTGTAGAGTCATGACTTACGAGTACAACAGTACCCCTCAAGTAAAGGTTGTATGGTGATTTGGATAGTTACAGGGTCAAACATAAGATTTGCCAATTTCTGTTTTTGTAAATTGCTATTTGCCTGATTGGCTATGTTGCCTTTGAGATGGTGTGGCAGCCCAGAAATCAAAATTAACCCCATCATAACCTACCATTTGAAAAAGTACACAACCCAGGGTATTCAAAATGGGGTATGTCCAGTCTTTTGTAGTAGCCACTTAGCCACAAACGCTTGACAAAATTAGTGTTCATATTTGTTTTTTGCATTTTTTTTTACACAAAAACTGCACTTTTACTGGTGATTTTGCCTTTATGATAAGTTTTAAACACTCTTTAGTGAACATTACCACCCATATACAGGTTTTATGGTGTTTTGGAAAGTTACAAGGTCAATATAGGGCTTGCCAATTGAGTTTGCTGAGTCTATGGTGCCTTTTGAGACCATATGGTAGTCCAGGAATGTGAATTAAACCCATCGTGGCATTTTCAAATGTAGACAACCCAGGGTATCCAAAATGGGGTATTTCCAGTCTTTTGTAGTAGCCACTTAGTCACAAACACTGGCCAAAGTTAGTATTTTTTTTTAAATTTATATTAACCCACTGAGCTATCTCACCGGCCTATACATGTTTATATAGTGTGTGTGTGCACACACACACACTATATACACATGTATAGGCCGGTGAGATAGCTCAGTGTGTGCACACACATACACACTTTTATTTACTATATATGTATTATATATTATAATTAAAGCATTTTATAATCTATTATATATATATATATATATATATATATATATATATATATATATATATATATAAAAATAAAAATGGTAGGTAACAGCACTCTAAGGACTTCAAAAAGTAAATGGTGAAAAAAACTTAGCTTTTATTCAGCAACTGCCACACACAATCGACGTTTCAGTTCTTAATACAGAACTTTTTGAAGTCCTTAGAGTGCTGTTACCTACCATTTTTATTTTTATGTTATTTGCTTTATTAGCACCAGGCATTAATCTATCTCTACAGGAGTGCAAGTATTTGAATATTATATATATATATATATATATATATATATATATATATATATATATATATATATATATATATATATATATATATATATATATATATATATAGTGGAAAATTTATTCATACTTACCGTAATTTTCTTTTCCTGGCTATTATTCATGGCAGCATATACACATTGGTTAGCTCCTCCCCTACAGCCGATAGGTCAGGAAAACCACCAAGGTTTTAAAAGGAGGCTCCATCCCTAAGTTCCTCAGTCAGTTTACAAGCTCTACAGTACATAAATAGAGACATTAATGGGTGGGAAGTATATGCTGCCATGAATAATAGCCAGGAAAAGAAAATTACGGTAAGTATGAATAAATTTTCCACTTTCCTGGCTAATCATGGCAGCATATACACATGGGGAATTCCCAAGCTTACAAAGGGAGGGACAGAATAGCCAATCAAATTATCAGAATAATTCATAGATAGAAGAATGAACAGAGTTAAGTGCTTGAGTACCAAATTGTGCATCATAGGACTATTTTAAAGAACAGCATGAAATGCCAGACAAACGTGTCTAAAGAGGTTCAAATGCTAGCTTATAAAAAGTGTCAGCAGAAAACATTGCCATGACAAACCATGATGCTGCAACAGCATGAGAGGAGAGTGCCCTGATACCCTCCAGCACAGGTAGAGAACGGACGTGACGCCCAAATTGTGCCTCATTAATTGCTTCAATATCCAATATGTAATGCAGGACAAACTAGTTCAAAGAGGTCCAAATGCCAACTTTACAAAGTTTCTGCAGAGACCATTGCCATGGAAACCCACGAGATGCTGTAACAGCACTAGTGGAGAATGGCATTGAAAGGCTCTCACTTTAGGCAGGATCACTGGTGCTACATGCAAGACAACCATATCCTGCTGAAATTCAGTGAATGGGGGTACACAGGATCAAGCCTGGAGTTCACCCATTTCCCTTGCTGGGGTACCAGCCACCAGCACTTTCTGTGCTACCACCATGGAAGCTCCTTCTAGAGGTTCGAATAATGGTTCAGTCAGGGCCCGTGTGACCATTGGTACGTCACATATTGGCTTCACCACACTCAGTGGAGGCATGATTTCAATCAATGCCTATATGAAGCAAAGTGCAGCAAAGTGCACACATTCACCCTGATGAGGTACCAGTCACCAGCAACAGCAACGTCTGGGCTAACATCATGGAAGCTCCTGCTAGAAGTTTAGTCAGAGTCTGTGAGACCATTTGTACGTCACATATTGGTTTCAACACCCTCAGCGGAGGCTTGAGTTCAGTTGTTGCTTACATGAAGCACCAGGGGCATCAACGCTCAATCGGTACCCTTCAGTACAGGTAGAGAATGACATAGATAAGCATTCACCATAGGCAGGATCTTCAGGTGCCAAATGCAAGACGACCATATCTGTAGAAAAGTAGTGAAAGGGGGTTCACAGGATCAAGCCTGGAGTTCACCCATTTTCCTTGCTGGGGTACTAGCCACCAGCACTTTCTGTGATACCACCATGGAAGCTCCTTCTAGAGGTTCGAATAATGGTTCAGTCAGAGCCCCTGTGACCAATGGTTAGTCACATATTGGCTTCACCACACTCAGTGGAGGCATGATTCCAATCAATGCCTATATGAAGCAAAGTGCTGCTAAGTGCTCCTCTAGAGTGTTATAACACAGAACCTTTCAAGGCCTGAATGAGGAGTAAATCCAACAGACAAAAGCATGTCAAGCTTAGTAAAGCATGTATAGGATTGTAAGAGGATCTCAATGACCGTCCCGCATCAACACCAGAACTTGAGGATCCTGGTGTGTCCTGGGGCTTTGTAATAGGTCTGGACGTACAGGAATTTCCCTTAGAGGTTCCAGAATCATCTTATTCATCATAGGAATTAGAGTCGACACGGTCTTCCACTGTCACCTTTTGCATTGCCTTTTTAAGAAGGTCGAAAACAGGAAAATATGTACATGAGACTAAAATTCTAAATTTGAGCCAGTGTATCCTGAACCTGAGCATTCTGGTCCTAGCATGTAAAAAATACTTCTGGACCTGGTAGTTCCAAGAAATGGCCATCAGATCTATGTAGGGTATCAGACAATCTGCCTCAACCACGAGGATACGTCAGGACATGGTTGCCAATCCACCTTGTCCACAGTTATTTGGCTCCAGCCAGGGCCATCTATAATATGATTAGGACCCTGGGCAATGCATTTTCTTGGGCCCCATGGGCCCTGTCCCTGCCACTGCCTCACCCCCCCAATTACGTCCAACCCGCAATCACACTGACAGACGTACTGACACATACACACACAGACAGACATTAAAACATTCACAGATACATACTGACACACAAAGTCACTACACACAAATATATACTGGCAGACATACTGACACACACACAGACATACATACATACACAGACACATACATTAACAGATATACTGACACACACACAGACATACATACATACATACACAGACACATACATTAACAGATATACTGACACACACACAAACACATACACTGACAGATATACTAAAACACACAGACACATACACTGACAGACACATTGACACACACACACAGGCATACTGACATATACACAGACAGACGTAATGGCTAATACAGACAGACATTAAACATTCACAGATATATACTGACACACACATACACTGACATACAAATATATCCTGGCAGACATACTGACACACACACAGACATACATACACACAGACACATACACTGACAGACATACTGACTGACACACACATACACACACAGACATACACACACAGACACATGCTGACACACAAAGACATGCTGACACACAAAGACATGCTGACACACAAAGACATGCTGACACACACACACAGACATACTGGCACATACACACAGACAGACATTAAAACATTCACAGATACATACTGACACACACATACACTGACATACAAATATATCACCAGCCAGACATGCCCGACACACACACACACACACACACACCGCCACACACACACAGAACATACTGACCTTTACAGACATACTGGCGCACACACAGACATACTGAAGGCACACACACACACAGACATACTGGCATACACGCTACTGGCATACACACACTGGAACATGCGGCATACACACACAGAGACATACTGGCACTTTGGAACTTATACCAGCCCACACACAGACATACTGACACACACACAGACGCACTGGCATACACACGAACGCACACACACACGGGCTTTGGGATACACAGGAACGCCCTGACACACGAACACTGACACCGGAACCTGCAGCACACGAACCGCTGCCCCGACGCACACACACACAGACATACTGGCATACACACAGACATACTGGCATACACACACAGACATACTGACACACACAGAGACACACACACACACTGACATACACACACTGACATACTGACACACACACACACACACACTGACACACACAGACAGACATACACACACACACACAGACCTACTGACATACATTTAGCCACCCTCCAGGTTCTTACCTTTTCCTGGAGGGTGGTTTCCCTGGTCCAGTGGCAGGCTGAGGCAGATGGGAGTTCTCCTCTGGAACTCCCCTCCTCCCTGCTTTCCTCCTTCTGCGCGGCCATTATCTCCGGTGGGAGGAAGTGACGTCACTTCCTCCCAGCCGGCTGCAGAACCGGAAGAGGGGCCCGGTCGCGCTGTTTAAGCGCCACAGCGCCCGACCGGGCCCCTGCTGACACATGCTCCCCAGGTGGCCCTTAGTGCATGGGCCACCCGGGGAGCCTCCTCAGTGTGCGGGAGCCGCACCGCAGGGGCTGCGCAAATCGCGGGGCCCACAGAGCAGCTGCTCTGGGCCCCCAGGAGCAACTGGGCCCGGGGCAGCTGCCCCATTTGCCCCGCGTTAAAGATGGCCCTGGCTCCAGCAAACAGCCATGGTATTCTGAGTCACTGGTTGTTCTTCTGTGCCCTGACCATTATGGGCTGGAATTCCATCAATACGTATCTGTGAGACCCATCTTGGTAGATATAGGATACAGTTGCATTGATATTTGAACAAATTTGGACCCACTCGTTCTTCATCAAGCCTCTGAAGTGAAGAAGAGCCTTGAAAAGGACTCTTAATTCCATACAAATGAATGGAAACAATGTGCAACATGGTCCAAACACTGTGCAACCAATCTTATAAAAACTGGAATTCGAGCTGATAATTGACCAATGAGGTTCTGTTCACTGTAAACTCAGAGATCTAATCCCTCTTTCAGCTGCCAGAGTAAGGTGCAACTCCACTGGTGGGGACATAGTAAGTGGCTGGCTCCAATAATCTCTCTCTTGTTAGACCAAGATAGGAAGGATCTGTAAGGAATCCAGAGATGCCATTGGGCCCATCTGACAAGTCTGCTGGTGGAAGCCAGGATTCCTAGTAGTTGCATCTATTTTCTTGCGGTTACCAAGCGAAATGAAGAAACTGGGAGAGAACACCTTCACAATCTGTGGAACTGTTCCCGAGATAGGGAAAAGCAGAGCCTAGAATTTTCCACTTGGGAATGTCAACCACTGAGCTGGTCTGAAACTGCTTTTCTTGATATTCATCAAGCAGCCAAACTTTAGGAGTTATGAAAGAACTATATACCTATGTGTGCCTGCCTTCTGAGGGTCTAAGGCTAATAGAAGTAGATCCTTCAGATAATGGAGCCAGGTGGAGTTCTGGACTCTCAATAACACTATAAGCACATACGAAGATTCTTGGGGCCGCATTGAGGCCAAATGGTAGGGCACTAACATGGAAGTTCTCTTCTGAGATAATGCCGAAGTTCTCTGCAGATTGGACTGAAAGTAAGCATCCTTGAGATATATAGATATAAGGAAATTATCCTTTCAGATTGCTTGAGATATGGATCTGATTTACTCCATCCCGAAGACTAACATTCAGCCTCATGTTGGCCCCTCTTAGGTCCAGTGTAAGCTTTCATGTGTTTTTCCTCTTGGCACCCGAAGAGGAGGCGAAACTTGTCCCTGGAACTGCTCTTGTTCTGGGACCTAAAAAAAAAAAAAAAATAACCTCTTCATCCAGAAGGCTTCTTCCTTCAGTGCTTTACCTTTTGATTCATTGGTTTTAATACTCCTGTTGGTATGGAGACTCCTCTGCCCGTTAAGAAAAAAACTCCAGTCTATATCAATCTGGACCATGGATACCACTCAAGCCTCCAGAGTATGACGAGTCCAGGTATGTGTGATCACACAAATGAGGCTCCTAGTACTGGAGGAGATATGTTCATTGCTGAAGAGCAAAACGACTGCGTTATAGCTCCATTAGAACCTTGAAAGGCAGGTTTACCAACTGTCATGAGTTACCTCTGGAGTATTCCCTGCAGGGCCAGTAGCTCCATGTATCTCAGAAATACTGGTCACTGGAGGTTCTCCGGTCAGACAATGAGGAGCTGGGATCCTTGGAACTTCCATCCTAAGGTACCAATATCTTGCAGCCCTCATTCGCCTTTTCAATGGAATTATCCAAAGTTTTCCCAAACAGCACCACCCCTTCAAATAGAATGGTGTAGAGGGCAGACTTGGAGGATGAGTCATCATCCCAGAAACAGAACCATAAAGCTTTCTTAGCTGCTATAGATAAAGCCATTTGATCCAGAGAATATCCTAGTTACATCTAGAATAGTTTCTGTGAAGAAGTCAGTTGTAACCTGAAGACTTCAGACTGCCTCTTCAATCTTGGCTTTTAATATCTCTCTTCATAGTAGCCTTTAGATCTTTAATCACATATTTCATGTTTGTAGAAACAGCAGCGGAAATCACAGCTGGCTGGCCTCCTGCAATGGTAGGCGTAACATTTTGGACAGGTCTGCGTCCACCTATGATCCAGAAGTTTGCAACTTAGGTGGTGTAGTTCAGGGGTTGGAAATAACTTCCTCTACAGGGTAAAGCCTGGCCTCTTTTCTTACCCCTAAGGTCTCTGGAACTTACTTTGTAAGCCCTGCCCACATGTCATGTGGCTGCACATTGATAGGTCATGCTGAAGCGACAACCTTCTGGAGGCAGTCAGTGCATAACTGATTTATTTCACTGTTTTCTCCTCATAACCAGATCCTGGTGAAGAATCAGACATCTGACAAATAATAATAACTAAATATTACCTGTGGTAAAGTATTAAGAAAAAATGTGCACTGTTCTATAAGAAACCAGTGAAACAGCTTAAAAACAGGCTAAAGACAGCCCTTATCTATGTCTGGAGACCCTGCAAATACTTACCCAATAAGTATATGGTTACTGTAATTTTCTCTTTATTTTAGGCACTTTCGGGCAATTGCCCTTATCCAAGATGGCTGCCACAACTTGTATTCCCACAATGCAAGTCATCTGTATTGGGCCCATTAAGGCACAAACTGCACACATGTGGGCCTATTCCAAGTGTGTTTGCTGTTAGAGACCAGGGAGAGGACTCTGTCTGAAGCCTACATGGCCCCTAAACACCCAGGGAACCGGGAATAAATCACTGGGACCGAGGGGAATCAAAATAGATAACAAAAGTGCCTGCAAGGAAGTTTAAAAGGCAACCACATGCAAAAAGTCAAAGTTTAAAGGCACCACAGTTTTTAAAATATATCAGTCTTCAAATGCACTGCAGTTTCCCAATGGACTGCAGTTTTCCAAATTTACTGCGGTTTCCAATGACTTGCGGTATTACATGCAACAGTATTAAATGCAAATTTAAATGAAACAGTTTTAAATGCCACACAGCTTAAATGCCACACAGCTTAAATGCTTCCTAGCAAAAGCACAATTGCATAATGTACCACAATCCTAAAAATAAGGTACAGCTGTACAATGCACTAGTTTAACCCCTTAAGGACACATGACATGTGTGACATGTCATGGTTCCCTTTTATTCCACAAGTTTGGTCCTTAAGGGGTTAAAGATATCAACGCTTAAATGCATCACAGCATAAAAGCACAATTGCATAATGTACTACAGTAAAACAGGCAAATAAAGTAATGAAGATAAAACAACATACATGTCTGTAAGTAAAGGGAGCAAATTGCTCACGTCCTCAGGGCTGTAGGACAGGAGAAAGACTGAGGAACTTAGGGATGGAGCCTCCTTTTAAAACCTTGGTGATTTTCCTGTCCTATCAGCTGTAAGGGAGGAGCTAACCCATGTGCATATGCTGCCAAGATTAGCCAGGAAATTATATATTTTCCTGACATTATTCATGGCAGCATTTACTCATGGGTTAGCTTCTCCCCTCACAGCAGAAAGGACAGGAAATAGAACTCTGAAACTGGTATAAAATAGATCCTCCCCCTTCCCATCAGGCAGTCTTTTTTCCTGTCCTTCACAGCAGTTTGGAAGGAGTCTGCTTATGCAGGCCTAGATTTTTATTTTATGCTCACCAGGCAATATTTTTGTAGCCATGCCGGGGTTCAGCCTCTAAGCCCTGAAGACCCAGCAACGCACTATTGTTAATACTGCAAACCTGGGTACCCCCTTTAGTGACCGGGGGTTGGACCCAACCTCTCCCTTAAGGGATGAAAATGGTCCACTGCATGCCAGGGTTCAGCCTCTTATCCCTGAAGACCCAGCAACAGGCCAGCTTGGGTACCCCCTCAGGGGATGAATGTGATATGCTGCCTACAGGAAGCCAGGCCTGGGTTCAGCCTCTTATCCCTGAAGACCCAGCAACAGCTCAGCTTGGGTACCCACTCAGGGGATGAATGTGATATATTGCCTACATAATACCAGGCCAGGGTTCAGCCTCTTATCCCTGAAGACCCAGCAAACAGCACATCTGTAACAGTTGCCAGCCTGGGTACCTCCTTCAGCAATCAGGAGTCTGACCTATCTCTCTCCCTGAGGGGATGACAGCGGTCCACTGCCTACATGAGGCCCAGCCGAGTCTAAGCCTTTATTCTTGAAGACCCAGTAAACAGCACTTCCATAAGGTTACTACCTGGGTATACATATTCTTGGTGTTCCACCTTGTATGGGGTTGGTTAAACCTCCTCCTACTGGTGATGATGGACTGCATATGGGGTACAGATGGAAGCCTATAGTTTAAACAGGTAGGCTGTCAGTTGTTCAAATCCCCATTTTGCTGTTGAAACACAGGCCTGCAGCTGTTCAGGTAAGTGCATTAGTAATTGGATTAAAACTAGTATAGGCACCTGGGTCTCTGTTCTTTCAGTCCCTCCCAGCGGCTTACATTAGGCTTCCTTCTAACAAATAGGTCACATTTAGGAGGTTTGTGTGGTGAGCATTTAGGTAAGTTATACATGAAAGGATGCTTGGTACAAAAGAGTGCTGATAATGCAAGGAGGCATTGTGCAAAAGAGTGCTTATGATGCAATAAGGCATTGTGAAAAAGAGTGCTAATAATGGATATCCTGGCTGTATAAAGTCTGCTGGAATTTCTCAGTCCTGAAGAAATATCCAAGGTAAGAGAACTTCCCTGGGTGACTGAAGTACTCACATGTATATGATTTTAAAGTCCACACACACACTTGTTCCTATCAAGATATGTGGCATTGATTGCTGTTATCTGTGCATTATCACAAATAAGCAGGCTTTTCCAGAGAGTGGAGGAATATACTGCA